GTTCCAACAAAGCATACGAAAATGTGGTTGCTTTGTGCTTGTGCATACGCAATGAAAAAAATTATAAGCGAAGTAGACAAAAATGTTTGTGCATCTATTTCGTATAGTTTCGCGTGGAATGCTGTGTGTGTATATATTAGAACACACAGCCTAAAACTATGTAGGTACATAAGTACTTTTACAAAAAATAAATGTGCACCGAGTGCATAGGGCTCGGGCATTGCCGATCTACACACATTTAATACCTACACGGATGTAGGCGTCGTGATGTCGCATTTTGTATGAGCAAAAATATAAGAAATGGTAAAATGTACACTTAAACAAACTATAATATTGAAATAAGGATTTTTTACCCTAGGAAAGAAGCATTTTAAAAGGCAAATTTTAATATGTGTATGAGCGTATCGACCTTAACAGAAAACCCAATTAAAAATCAGAGGCGAATACGAAGAATAAAACCGTATTTAAGTGTGTAATTTTTTTACAATATATGTAAGTACATATGTATGTATATCTGTGTTCGTATGGAGTAATAGCTTATGTCGAAAAGCTGGCTTTAGTATAATGCGGCATTCGCAGCATACGATTTTTGTAGAAACGAAAACGCTATAAGCCAATCAAGAAAATTTTGTGCACACTCGGGTTGAAACTCGAACACCCGGGTATATTGAGCTGCAAAGCACCCGAACCCAATCATGTATGTATGAAAAGTAATCGGGTGTTGTGGCCAACATGTTTGTCTTGAGCTCAGTCGCTAACAAACAATACTTCTGCTCGTATACAGAGAATGGTGCAAAACGGGTTTAGTTAGATGATCGAGTATACATGAAAATTATGCACGCGCTGCAGATGTCTGAAGTACACACACCGAGTTTCGTTAAGATATTTCAATTTTTACTCGAGTTATTGTGTGCACAGACGGACGGACGGAGAGACAATCACCGCCTAATCGATTTCTTTTTTCATTCTGATCATTTATGTATACATTTGTCTATATCTGTCTCGTTTCGTTTTGGCTGTTGCTGTAAAGATTGGAAGGAGTTTAGTATTGGCAGGATCGCCATGTAAAGATTGGAAGGAGTTTAGTATTGTCTTAGCTCTACAGCCGCATTTAGGTGAGCATTAAAATGCCCCACAATG